AATACTTTCTTTCACGAATCATTAATCTTCCTCCAGGCGACTTTTTGTGGAAATCTTACGGTAGATCTCAAGACGGCTATTTTTTGTCGAGTGTGTTCATTCGTGGTGCTTGGTTGATGAAGGAATCGTACGAGTTTCTGGTCGCCTATGCATTTTTGTTCCTCTAGATGTTGCGCATGCTAAGGAATCGTCGACTGGAGCAGCTCTCCGGCTATGGCGATGGATTCATCGAAAAGACAACGTCTCTTGAAGATGTTTCTCGGAAGTCGCGTACACAGTTCGAAGACCATTTATTCGCTGGTCGGACGGTGAGCGACCGACGACTATCGCGGAGAGATGAGTCGCCACCGAAAAAGCCAAAACCACGTCGAAGGTTCTTCCGTAAAGGAAGTGATGAGCGACGGTCGGGCTCAGCTCCTGCTATTCTGAGAAGATGCAAGGAAGGTTGTGGTTGTAATCTACCGAGAACTAGTATTCATACAAAATGAAAATTGTTGTTTTATTTGTCTATTGATTTCTATTGATTCCTTATAACTGTAATCGATAGGGGGAACTTAGGAGTTCGATAACGCATATTCTTATGCAAATGCTCTACCTGGAGAGTGAGAGTGACGTGTTGAGCCTTTGATATCGGATTTAAGCAGCTTCTGAGCTTATGCTTGAGTATCCTGAAAAATCTCAGGAATTATATGGTTTTGAAAAGATTATGTTTGCTGAAATACAGAGAGTTAATAAATGAAGCGCTAGGCGGTCTCTAGACTTCAGTTTCTAATCATAAAGGCACTTATCCTACATGATGTCAGAGGGGAATTGTAGATATCGAACTCGATATTTCCATCCTTCCTGATGACTGTGACATTAAAAAAAACGGCTGCAGACGGACAGAAGGCTTAGTTAGCTTGAGCGTGGATTTGTACTGATTCTATTGGTGTGAAAGCGGCACCATATCCTGCTATGGCTCTGTTAATGAGTACTTTTAATATATTATATTTTAAAATATTTCTCAGCTCTGTATGCAAGGTGTTTTTTGCAAGCATAACGTGGATGATGGCCAAGAGAGTCATCCTGCTATGGAGAGAAAATGGAATGGGAAATTGGAAAGCACTTTTTAATCGAAATAGAAATCAAACGCATTGCAGGTTTGTTCAAGTTTCGTCAGAATCGCCGGTCGAAGAAGTCCACTTCGGAGACGGCGAACGCAGCAACGGAAAAATCGGATGTCATTAGGTGAGTCTTTTTTCGAGTTCTGCTTCTCGAACGTAATCTTTTACTCCAATAAATTTCATTACATGAGGAAAGTGTGGTTTCACCACGTTCAGCGCTAACCATGAAATGTTATAATACTTGTTATGCTCGTACAAGTGCTTTTTTCATGGTGAGATTCTCTGCGGAACAAGCGTTCCATGGATTAACTGGCGTAGAATCCACTACTGGATGGTTTTTAGGTGGAGTAGTTGCAATGTGTTTCTTTATCAGTGCCACCTCAGCTCTTTTTTTGCACGCGTCGTCTCGGCGCTTCTGTAAGCAATTTTATGCGCTCGAGTAATTTTATGCACTCTGCGTCCCACGAGATTACTTTCGTTTTGGAAAGGTTACTCCCTGAATTCCAAGTTTTTCTTCACGTGCTAAAATCAATATGTATTCGCACGGGCTCTGTTGTATCAAAAAATCTCTACAGACTAATCGGTTGGTCGTTTGAAATGGGAAGCTCCACAGACGGAGATCTGACTTGATTAATAAGTATTTACAAGAATGTTGGGTTGTGAACAAAAATAATAGTAATTGATTTCTATTTGCATAATGATCTATTTGATCCACTTATATAATAATATTTCTATTTATATGAGGGTCTATTTGAATAGTACTTGATGTGTACTGATCCTTGACAAGGAGTTGATAAAAAATTTGCTTAGTTGATTGAGATTACAATTGGATATCGACCGACTGACCATGCATGTAGTTGCGCAACTAACCAATATGTGACTCGATCCGAGCCTAGGCTTACCTTTCCAGTTCCGGGTGTTTCCCGAATGTTTCCAAAGCGGTGTCAGGAACGCTGGAGGAAATTTTGCTTGATGGGATGATAAGAGTTTTCGAAGCTTGAGCCATGTTTAGGCCTTATACCACGTTGGAAAGGTTGAAACAATGGGTGAACTTTCCATCTAACAATCAGATGACAGGAAGCACCAAACACGGCAGCTTTGGCATGAACCTCGGACTGGTTACCGCCCCATTAAAATATAAGTGTCTCCTCAGTAGAATTCAGAAACGTGAAAGCACCTCATTAAGGAAGGATTATGGTCCCAGACCCTCCCGTAAGGAACCTGTAATAGTTAGAAAACTTTTTTCTCTAAAATTGTCAATGATCACGAATATGACATATTGATATTGACGCAGACGCCAATGTTGTGTCTCTTCGCCTCGAAAGGGCACTGGCGTCAAGCATTAAGTGTAATATTCGTGGTTAGGGCAGCCAGCAAACCGCATAGGTAAAGTTCAGATGAATGAGTTTTTTTACGAACTTGCGGTTGCTAGTATAATAGTTGAATAGCGCCGGAATTGGTCGAAGTCGAATTGGTCGTATTTTATTTGATAATTCATAATGGATGAAGTAGTTTGAATTACTTTCAATTTAATTGAATTCCTGCTTTCGCAAAAGCTGTCTCTTTTCTTTTTCTGAGACAGAATTTGAACTTGCTGATAGTTGATCTCGTGTTGGCGTGAAGCAAATTAGGTTACCGGCAATCGAGAGAAATGTTGTCATCGAAACGATTATATTACGGCTAAGAAATTGAAATACTCGCATAAGACGCTTTCTTGCGTAGATCTTTTCGACCCTATGTTGCCTAGCGAATGTTATTGGTTCCACAAAGAAGCAAATTCTTCTCAGTGTAGTAGAAATTCTCTTCCTTACGTCTTGCCAATGATCTCGTACAGAATTTTTTGACGCTTTCTGATGGTTTTGTTTGATTGTGTACTAAAATTTTGAGCATTTCACTCCTATTGATAAGTCTAAAGTACGTGTTGTTTTTAGAACTTCAGAATTCGACATAGCAGGCATGGCTTCGGAACGTAGTTTCTGTAGATTTGCTCTCAGGAGGAGATCGGTCTATCTAATTATTTAGAAGTGGTGGGTGGAAATAACGAGAATAGTTCTAGTGTAACTTTGTTTCGACCACCTGCCTGAGCGGTAAGAACCCCGAAAATTCACACGAAACTGATTTTGCTGTACTCATTGAGAATCGCACCTGCATAACAAGAAATATAAGAAAGTGACGAAGGCGCGAGATTTCACGCTGTATAAATTCGATTGAGTGAAATTGTTTGAGGAAGGGTTTGTTGCCTTTGTCAGAGGGGGTTTTTAAGGATATTCGGCTAACGAATACCCATGAGCTTCAAAGGAAAACGATCTATCATTCTAACGAAACCGCCTCGATCAGACATTTTCTCTGAAACCCTTGTGTCGACGTCCAGTTTGGAATACTTTCTATGTATAACATTGTGGTTGTCTTAAGAAATGCAATGATGCAATCTAATGTAAGCTCTAAAATTATAGGCTTAATTTTGAAAAAGTGCAATAATGCCATATCCTTCGTAATGTTTATGCTTTGTGAATGAACCTAACCTCAGTATCTAATTTCCTAATTACTGAACATTAGCAGCAAGGGATGTAAAAGTTTTGGGGGTTTTTCGACCTTGTCCTCAATTAATTTCAAGTTTCTATCGTTAATTTGCCCACAGCTTGGTTGGAAAAACGAGCTTAACTGCTAACTATGCATAGGATAATTGAAAGTTGCTCGGGTTTTGTGAACTGAAGTAGCTGTTGAAATATTAGCAGGGAATTGTAAATTGAATCAGGGTTGTTTTTGCCATCAGCTCCTCCTTGATATTTTTTCTCGCTGAAGCTAAACATATTTTGCAGCTTTCTGGTAGTGTTAGCATGTTTTTGGTCTTGATTCGTTTAGTTATTCCAGCTTCCCATTGTTTTTCTTTATTTCCAAAGGGAATATCCAAATAAAAATTGGGAATGCAAAACTGCCTTTGAATCGATCCTCTTTGTTCATTTTATTCTCCGCAAGTCCTTTATCTCTGCATGCCAAATTAGCTTGCTGGCTTTTTTCCTGTAAATTTCCTTCCATCACACAGACAAGCAGAATTGCTCTTCCATCCATCCATTTCCTCGATCTAGCCCCATTCACTCGTTCTCACTCGTTTCCTTCTCCTCTCATCTTCTTAGGCTGTTCTATAGAAGGTCTGGAGCATGAAGCGTGAGGTGTGCGGCGTTGCTGGCTCCAGTCTTGTGATACGGGTCACATTCTCTTTTGCTATTTAGAATAAAGTCATCTAGTCATCAAGGCATCTATTAAATGCGACTAGTCTATCATTATCTTGCGGGGGCTGACCGATGTACAACCGGATGTTTCCACTTACCCAAACGAGTCTGGTGCCAAGTAGTCGACCTAGAAGGAATGTAAAGCTTGGTTGCCCTGGGTCAAATTCGAGCCAGGATTTGGCTGCCGAAGCCACACCACCCCCTTCTTTCAAATATCGGGCGACTGCTGTGTCATTGGTCCAATTTTCCATGCCTTCTTGCAACTTTTTTCATTGTTCTCGCTCTGCAGCGGCCATACATCTCTTCTGCTAGTCCCCGAATTGGCTTCCTATTGGAAATGGAATCGATTACTTGAGGCGATTCTGAGAGATTGAGAACCTTGAAAGCAGAACAAACTGCTCCAGTTATTTTCCCTTCGGTTAATGCTTCGCGTTCAGTTCAGACATATCAATGACGTATACATAGCGCAATATGACGTTATCGCCTGGTGCGCCGTGTACCCCGAACCTGATCTTCGTTGGCTCGCTGTCGACACATCTCTCGTTTTTCCTTTAGAGTGATTAGGTGGCGCAAATAAATACATCGAAAATGCAGGATCATTCTTATTGGTTTTTTGTTCCCCATTATGTAGGTAATTTGATTCATAAAATAAAAGTGATTTTACAGCATGGATGATGTTCACAGTACGGCCAGCAGTACACGTAGCGATGATAAGGTCTGTTATTTTTTCATTTTAAGTATGTTTGCTTTCTTTATTTTTGTTGCCAGCGAAATGATATTTTTCGTATTTCTCTCCATTGCATTAGGTTTATTTATTTTTATACATCTTATTTTTATTATGTATTGATTTTCTTTCATTATCATTTTGCCATACTGTTTATCATATCTTTATTTTTTACTCATATGTCCAATTCTTCAGCGCGTGAATGGCTCGACGAGTCTCCTCGATCTACCGTTAGCCCCTGCCCCACCTCCTCCAGTTGACGATGAAGGCTACACGATAAGGGAACACGAAGGCGATAAAGAAGACACGAATTGGTCGTCCTGCAGTAGCAGCGATGAGGTGATTATCTCAAATTTTGGTTTATTCATCCTTTTTATTTATTATTAAAGGCTGCAACCACCGTTGATACCACAAACGGCAAATGAAAAATTGGCTAAGGATGGCACGCGATTAGTTGTCTCAAAAAACTTAAAAGAGGAGAGCTATGCACTGGTCTAATTCATTCTTTTAATTTATTCATTTACAATATTTGATAACCGTTTCCAGGACGAGGACGCTCTACAACAATCGAAAATTCGGAACTTGACGATACGACCGGCCGATTCGGCGAAGACGATGAATGCATCAGTGGACGAGTTGCGCGACGCCATCGGTCACATCAGTATATGTAGAAGTAATACATTCGATAAGGTGACTTTGAAATTCTTCGCTTTCATAGGTTAAAAAAGGTAATTAACGGAAGGACAGGTTGTTCGAAGGCACGGGTTGTGATTTGATGCGTAGTAGAATTATCTCTTTGCATTGGTCCAGCAGATCTCTAATCGCAAGGGTTGTGGTGCTGTTGCGACTTGAAAGTGGGAACTAATGCCTCCGTTTCACCGCTGCGAGCATTGCCACCCTTACCAATCGCGGCGCACGTGGCGTCGACGCGCTATTACGCCTCTCTCGCGTTTTCTCTCTCCTCGCAGCGCTGTTTCTCTGAATGTACCACGGTCCACCTCACAAGAAAAATTTTAGTGTTTTTGCTTTTTGCTTTTTTTCTCACCAACGTTCCCCTTCGGTAACTTCGCCTAATTTTCAAACGAAACACTACTCGATCGCGACTCATACATTCATCTTCAGTAAAATTTATTTAATTCCAACTACATAAATATAATGGTACGATTGAACGAATTGTAGGAGATGAATTTTGCGCAAAAAAAACCGATCGCTGCCAATATTTTTTTATTTTATACAAAAGTCAACATGTGGACAGTGTGTATGCAGTAATATTATTGCTCGCCATCTGATTGTCTAATGGGTGGCTATTTTTAATAGTTCTCACTTCTTTTGTACGGTGGCATTATCTTGAGCCTAAGAGGGCACGCATATTGTTAGCAGCTGATCTTTGCGATCGTATCCGCTTATCGCACGTTTTGAGTCCATCGAATGAGAAGGTAATGAGCGAAATAGGGTACCACGGCTTCACCCAGAAGCACTTCTCTTGGAGGGGAAGTTCAGCATTTCGAGAAGTCGCACTTGTTTGCAAGACTGTAGTAGGCTTCCGAGCGCACCTTGTTTGATATGAAGGTGGTTAGTGGAAATACAAGTCCCCACTTTTGACCTTTTAGCTACTACAGTCTTGCAAACAATGGCGACTTCTCGACATGCTGAACTTTCCCTTTAAGAGAAGTCTTTAGTGTTTGACTATCCGACCAAACTTGAGAATCCCTTGCAATCTGTAGTTTTCTACCTTTTGGTAATTCCTGAACTATTTTCACAGTTTCGTACTTCGTAAGTTCTATTCATTTAGGATCCTTGGTCTGTTGGAACAAGTCGTCCCCCGCTATTCTCACAATCATTATCCGGTGGCAGTTTGAAGCCGTTGCGACCCTGTCATACTGCCGATGGTCGATTTCGATCGAATTTCAACGGTAATTTTCATAAGATTTCTATATATCCCATCTGTTCATTGCTGATCCATTAGTTTCGCATCTTATCGGCTTGATTATTTTATTTTCTTCTATTCATCACGATGAAAAAGTATAGCAGTGAGTGTGTTGCAGAATCAGATTTTGGAAAAAGCAATATGCCATTGAACTTCTCCGCTTCGATGGGTCCTATAGCTGGTATGGCGAGAGCACGACCTCGAAGCAACACTCCCACTTACAACTCCACACTTGGTGTTGCCACAATGAGGAAGGTAGCGGGAATTTTATTTTCTTGAATTTTTTGTAATGGTCATTAAGCATTATTCCGCTCCCAGGACTCGGTCGGTTCAACCGAATGGGGATCATCCTTCGCGATCAACAATGGTGATGGTAATCATTCCTTGGGCGAGTCGTCGTTCAATCTTTCTCAGTCAACGGCGAATCTCATGCAGGTGTGTCAAAGCAACTCTCAGTGAAGTCGCTAAACTCCTTAAAGAAACTGCTTGGTTTTCACCTCTTCTGAAGTCTTAAGCGTTTGTCCAGCCTGCAGACCAAAGACGTTTTTAGGCAACCATAAGCGAGCATCGGGTTCCTGTTGCTATGGCTATCAACGAGTACTCACATGTGTGGTTCAAGAACGCTAACGTTGAGGAGTAAGTTCTGCTTCTCGATTCTTTTCGTAGTGCAGCTTTGGTTTCAGTTATGCTTTCGGTTCCCTCCTCATCTGCAGTTCTGTACTGCTTTCTACAAGGATTTAAATGAAGGTTGAATGAAGGTGTCGTATAGGGTTGATGTCCTACTCACCCTGTAGTCAGTTTGGAGAAGTTGAATCTCTTGAACTTGAAATTTGCTCTTTGCTTTCTTTCTCTTGCTACTTGGCTGTATTACTAAATACATTCCAATATTAGTGAACATTTTAAAAAGATACTGGTGCCTTGTCTGATGATCTCTGCGCATTCGCGCACCAAGGGATGTGTAGGGTTTCAAAGCTGTCGGATGTTTCATTAACATTGCTAATGATTCCACGTTTTTTTCTGCATTTATTTTTATTTTTTACGTATATCGAACGCTAATCTGAAGGATAT